ACAGACAGATAGACAGACAGATAGACAGACAGACAGATAGACAGACAGATAGATAGACAGACATATAAGCAGATAGCCAGACAGATAGATAGACAGACAGATAGATAGACAGACAGACAGATAGACAGACAGACGGATAGACAGACAGATAGATAGACGGACAAATAGATAGACAGATAGATAGATATTGATAGATAGACAGACAGATAGACAGACAGATAGATAGACAGAGATAGATAGATTTTCCCAAGATTTACAAACAAGGTTAAACAAAACGCTAAGTGATTTGAACCCTCTGGCGAACAGACAGCGCTAGATTCTCTTCCTGCTTTGTTGACCCACCGCCCCAGTATGAAAGATGAGAGAGGCCAGGCTCCCAGTGTTGCTTTTCCCGCTAAACGGAGACTTTATTGCCAACACTATGAAGGGGAGACACAGAAACCCGGATAAGGAAGAGTTGCTGCTCCCTGTTTATACAGCAGCTCCCCCACCCCGCCACCCCCAACTCCAGGAGAGGTGCTGCCGGATGTGGGACTAGTGTCGAATCAGATGCAGACTCGATGGGCCGCACGGCCTCACTAAGATTTGGTGTTGCCTGTGTCCTTCTGTTTATTTCATTGGGAGGGGCGATGAAAGATCACATCTTGCTCCAACCCCAGGCTTTCCCTGTGGTTGTGCCGTGCCTCAGGGTTGCATACCGATCACCCCGCTCCTCCTTTCACACACACACAGACCCCTCACACTGCGCCCACCCCCCAACCAGCCCTACCCACTCCCGCAGGGAGAGCTTTTCCCAGGCACTGCAACCAGCTGGGAGTGCCCAGCGTATGGGGAGGTGGGGGACGCAGAGGCAGGTGGCTCTGGGTGTTTGAGAAGGGGGTTGGGGGGGGTGCTGCTTGTCTGGGAGCTCTCTTACCTGGAGTTTAGCTCCCTCTGGGGCCTCTGTGATTTCTCCAAGCCCAGTTTGGTGAAGATCCCCACCAGTACCATGATGGCGACCACGCCACAGATGAAGTAGACGATCAAGTTGGTTTTATCTCGGGTCTGGTCAAACGCAGTGTCGTCCGGTCTCTGCGGCGGTTTACCCACGTTCGCCCAGTTCGGGGTGTCGTAGTTGGAGCAAATGCTCTGGTCCAGGCGGGACTCTTTAAACTGGCAGCAATACCTATAACCGCATGTCCCGCAGCAGTACTGGTAAATACTGGTGTTGCAATTGAACGCTGCGTCAAACTGACCCATCACATCGAAGTAGCCCCGGCAGCGGTCTGGGGTGGCCGGCAGCTCCAGGGCGCCCGAGCTGTTGGAGCTAGAGCCCAGCAGGAGCGGGCCGAGCTGCCGGCCGGCTTTAGCCTGGGCCATACGGTCCAGCACCGGGCACCAGAAGCCCAGCAAATCCAGCAACAGGTAGCGCAACAGCCGCACGCTCATTGCTGCCGCTCCGGGACTCGATCCGGATTCGAATCGCTCGGCACCTTCAGGCGGATCCCCTTCTGGGCGGCACCGAGCGCCTCATCCCCTCCCGGCCACAGGACCCCCGTCCTCTCTCCGTCTCCCCTCCTGTTCGCCAAGTTGCGGCTCGGTCTCCAGGCTCTGTCTTCCACCTTCCACGTGGGCACAGCTCTGAAGCTGGGAGCTGGGTCAGTGCCTGCCTTTATCCTGGCATCTAACAGCCCGGTGGCACTGGCGAGGGTCCGAGAGACATCCGCTGCTACCAAATGCCAGTTCAATCCGAATCCAAACAGTGCTGGCTCCTGGTGTGTGTACTGACAGATCCCAGACTCCCAGTGTACTGACAGATCCCAGACTCCAGGTGTACTGCGAGATTGCAGACTCCAGGTGTACTGACAGATCCCAGACTCCCGGTGTACTGTGAGATCGCAGACTCTGGATGTATTGCGAGATTGCAGACTCTAGATGTATTGCGAGATTGCAGACTCTGGATGTATTGCGAGATTGCAGACTGCGGGTGTACTGTAGAATTGTAGTCCGGGTATACTCTGAGAGCTCAGAGACCGCAGCCCATTCCCACAGGGGGTCCAGCGAAATAAACCAGCGCAATGTGAGTCAATGGACCTGCTGGTGTTAAAGTTACAAACCTCCTCCTGTCCCTGCGCCTTTTCTACAGGCGATACAAATCCTTTAAGGTGGCTCAGAGCCCGTCTTCTGGGTCAACGCTATTCAGTTTAAGCGTCTCTTGCTTATTTGGTGAAGTCTGAATTGATGCCTGGACTTTAGCATCTTGGGAGAATGATATGGGATAGCATAGCTCGAAGGCGCTGTGAGAACAAACCGCGGGTGAGTGACTGAGTGTATGTGTGTGTGTGTGAGAGAGAGAGAGCCCAGACTGAGCTCTCACAATTAAAGAGGCAATGGCTGCAAACACGGAACACATTTAGATAGAGCAGCCTGTCATAATGCGAGGTGTTCACACGGCCAATAGATTCAGTCTTTTGATCTATTTTTCAAACGATTCTTTAAAATGCTGTATTCGGACAGACGCTGCGTTGTCCGGAGGCCGTTGGACCCACAATGCGGCGGCCACTTTTAGAGCAGACAGTAAACAAAACTTCCTCACGTCACCTGCAGCTCCAGCCCTGCCATTTAAACTCTAGAACAAAGCCACTCCAGATTCCGCCAAGACTCTGATCCGAAGCTACACTGAGTTCAGAGTTTCACTAGCTGGGGAGTCCCGACGCCAGTTCGCAAACCGTTTCACACATTCTGCCAGTTTCTTTGAAAACCCCTCTCCAAACAGGGGGAGTGGGCCCACCACTGGGAGCTTCCTCCTCCTTAATGGGGAGGGGGGTGTCACTGATCTTATTGATACACCCTAAATAATCAGCAACATTTTAGTTAGCATCAAACCTGAAGCTGGATTTCTATTTCAGAAAGGCTGGGTTCAGCACCAATGCAGTAAGAACATTCATTCCTGATTGTTCCCCTCTGAAGAAGCCTGACGTTAACCAGATCTTATAACAAATGCGCGTAAACTAGCAAGATGAAAGTGTGGAAACTGTAACATTACCTTCAGATGGTAACGTGGCCCTGGGCTGCTGATTCCCACAGCCCAGGGTTAGCTCCAACCCACAGACTCTTAAGTTGTGATAGAAATTACATTTCGACCTCTTCAAACGATTGCAATATAATCAGGCAGGTGGTCTGATTGTTCTATAGGCAATAATCTAGCTGGGACCCAAAACATCTTTTAATCAAATCCTATCTATAAATTACATTCTGAAAATGAAGCTTTTACATTTCCTCCACAAACCTGTCTAAAGGGTTGAAGGTTCTCACTTGTTCAGTGTTCTGACTGTCTCTGTAACAGAATCAAGAGGAGTCTGAACTCTCAACCACACATCAAGGAAGAGCAGTTTTACAGAGGAAAATTCCACCCCAGTTTGCATCCTGCCTTGCTTTTATCTTAGATATGTTTAAGCAGCCTGATCAGAGAAATTCTGACACAACTCTGGAGTAGGTGGGAATCGAACCCAAGCCTCCTAGCTCAAAAGTATGTTATTGCCTATATCTGGGGCAGGTGGAACTTGAACCTAGCTGGTTCAGAGGTAGGGACACTACCACTGCACCATAAGAGTCCTGTCACTTTTGGGTTACGCTGGACAAGAGGTGAGGAACCACAATGATTTATCTACTACTGAGAGAAATAATTGATACAGCTGGTGTATGACCACTCAACAAGTGTAGGGTCAGGTGTGAAGACACCATCTCTATGAACTAACATAGCTGGTGTCAGCGTAGAACCCAAACTATTAATTTATATTCTGCACCACACTCTAGTCACTTAATTAACTCAACAAACCAACTCCTCACCCCACCCTCAACTCGTAAAGAGGAGTTTGCACAAATCATATATAGTACGTGGTATTATTTTAAAGCAAGGATTGTGGGACTTTTTGCAGCTACAGTAAGCTGATTTGAGATGTAAACATTCATAACTTAGAGGTTTGATTTAAGAATATCAGCACTGAACTGAAGCCTCTAATATCACTGCTACAGCTAAGTGTTATTTGTGTAGTTGCAACTGGTAGTTAATCTGGATGAAAATTGAATTACAAGAGAATTGAAGCCAAAAATTCTCAGTTTATAACTTGTCTTTCTTTTTAAAAAAACTCTTTTACGTGATGCAGGTATCATTGTCGGGGATAGAAATTCATTATTCATCCTGAGTTGCCCTTAAACTGAGTGGCATGCTCAGCTGAGCATGACAGTTGAGGCAATCACATTGCTGGTCTGGAATCACACGTAGGACAGACGAGGTAAGAGCAGCAGATTTTCTTCCCTAAAGGATGTTTGTAATGGGTTTTTACAACAATCATGACATGGTCACCATGATGGAGATCAGCTTTCATTTCCAGATTTTTAATAATTGATTGAATTTAAATTTCACCAATTACCATGGTGAGATTTGAACCTGTGTCCATGGACTATTAGCCCAGGCTGCTGAGTTACTAATCCAGTAACAATACAACTACACTATATCAACTCCATGCTTCACATGCATTAATTTGATATTTTGAAAGTTTCCCTTCCCCCTTAGTTCAGAAATATTTACAATTGATTGGCTGAGTTATTAGGTTGTGAAGAGAATCATTTTAGAACAGATGTAGAGAGCTCTCTCTTGTCTGACAGTCAGATTCAGTTACACACAGGATCAATCCACTGTTCCTAACCTTGAATTAATTGGTGACAAAATAAAATCTCAACCAATCCAACACTATGCAGTGTTCACTTAGCAAATCAGTGCGTTGTTAACAGGAATTCCTGTTCTCCTCTTCTTCAGGGGTTTGCTTATGTACAGCCTTGTCTGCACAATCTTTTCAAATCTCTCTGAATTAATTTCTGAATGCTCCCCCAGTATTTTCTAAAATAACCTCTGTATCTGTTGACTAACTCCTGTGTGGGGGTATGTGCTGATAATAAACAGTAAGCCAGTGAACTAGTTCAAATATCACAAATCATAGCTGTCTGTCTTCTACCATCGACCACAGCTTCTTCAACAAAACTTCAAATTAGCTTCCAGGCTTCTGCTAGTGTTAGTGCCACCCTGTAATTACCTGCCAATATCCTGAGTTTGCTGCCAGCTGATGTTCCCATGTTTAGTAGGGCAGCACCTTGCATTAGTTCCGTGCCTTGATTTGAGAAATTTCAAGCTCACTGTTCAAGGAATCAATGAGGTAAGCAAAAATACAACATGCATTTATATCACAATTTTCATACCTTCAGGATTTCTTAAAGTGTTTCACAGACAATAATGTACACCCAAGTATTGGCACTATTGTGGAGCAGCCAATCTGAACAACACAAGATGCAACAAACAGCAACAAGAAAATGAACATATGATGTGCTTTATTAATGTTGGTTGAAGATAAATGTTGGTTCAGGACACTAAGAGAATTTTCCGATAACCCCATTTACCTCTCAAAGGTGACCACGTCTGTTATCAGTCATAAATAAAAACTAAAAGAACTGAGGATGCTGTAAATCAGGATCAAAAACAGAAGTTGCTGGAAAAGCTCAGCAGGTCTGGCAGCATCTGTGCAGAAAAAATCAGAGTAAACATTTCGGGTCCAGTGATCCTTCCTCAGAACTGTTATCAGTCATGTTTGATCTGATTCCAGTTGGTGTGTCACTGACTGCTAAAGCTGATCTTAGCCTGGAATGTTCTGTTGCAACGTAGGTAGGATAGTGCAGACAACTGTGTGCTGGATGAGATGCTGGTTTGTAATCTCCTTTCTGCCTCTGATATGTGCATGCTTTCAAACAGAACATACTAGTTTTTATTTGGTTTTATCCAGGAACAGCAATCCTGGCCAAGCTTTTGCCAGGCCTCAGAGTCAAAATAAAAACTGAGGAACACCTTCAGAATGTCCTTCTAGTGCCTCCTTTAAATGTCATGAGTCTCCAACACTCTGTGGAAGCTTCACTTTTGTTAGTGAGTGCCAGGTGTTCCGTCCAAGACTAAATAAAAACCACAAGAAAAACCAAAAGAACTGCAGATGCTGTAAATCAGGAACAAAAACAGGAGTTGCTGGAAAAGCTCAGCAGGTCTGGCAGCATCTGTGAAGAGAACATTTCGGGTCCGGTGCCCCTTCCTCAGAACTGATGGTAGCTGGGAAAACATTGATTTATATGCAGCAAATAGACAGGGGCATGAGATAGGGAGTAATTTGTTTTCTTTATTCATTCATGGGATGAGGATGTCGCTGGCTAGGCAGCATTTGTTGCCCATCCCTAATTGCCCAGTGGGCAGTTAAGAGTCAACCACATGGCTGTGGGTCTGGAGCCACATGCAGGCCAGACCAGGTAAGGATGGCAGTTTCCTTCCCTAAAGGAAGTGAACTAGATGGGTCTTTCCCGACAATCAACAATGGATTCAGATTCGTAATTTACTGAATTTACTTACTGAATTCAAATTCCACCATCTGCCGTGGCGGGATTTGAACCCTGGTCCCCAGAACATTATCTGGGTCTCTGGATTAACAGTCCAGCAATAATACCACGAGGGTATTGCCTGCCCACGATAGGATAGGATAGGATAGAGCCCGAAGAGTGAGAAGAGCAGTTGGATAGTCAAAGGAATTGATAACAATCCGGCTAGGAGGGTGAGTAGTTGTTAATGGGGACTGTTAGGGACTAACAATAGGTGGTGCGTAATGGCAGGCTATGTGATAACAAGTAAAAACCGAAAGAACTGCGGATGCTGTAAATCAGGAACAAAAGCAAAGTTGCTGGAAAAGCTCAGCAGGTCTGGCAGCATCTGTGAAGGATAAAACAGAGTTAACGTTTTGGGTCCAGTGACTCTTCCTCAGAATGGATGGTGGCTGGGAAAGGTGGACCCACCCACCTCCCTATTTTCTGCATATTAACTGATGTGTTCCCAGCCACCATCAGTTCTGAAGAAGGGTCACCGGACCTGAAACGTTAACTCTGTTTTATCCTTCACAGATGCTGCCAGACCTGCTGAGCTTTTCCAGCAACTTTGTTTTTGTTGTATGTAATAACAAGGCCTGATGTGTGTGGGATAGGGGGCTAGGACATGGGAGAGTTTAGGCCGTAAAATTGTTGAATTCAATATTTAGTCCAGAGGGCTGCAGGGTCCCCAGGTGGAAGATGAGGTGTTGTTCTTCCAGCTTGCGTTGCACCTGGTCTATCTCTGACTCCTCCCTTCCCTTCCTTGACATCTCTCTGCATTTCTGGAGATAGACTGGCCACTAATATCCACTATAAACCCACTGACTCCCACAGCTAACTGGACTATACATCCTCTCACCCACTTCCTGTAAAGACTCC